CTATTAATATCATTGATGGATACAAAAGAGCCAGTAAGAAGAATAAGTGGAAGTGTGAGAAAACCAAGATTCAGAGTAGATTCAGTGATTTACTAAAGGTCATGTGCAAAAAAAAACCCCCCCAAAACAAACCAAACAAAAACATGCTCCCTCACTTCTAGTGCAGGTCTTTTCCCATAACCCCTTTTCAGCTCACTCATATCAACCAAGTCCACCACAAAGACATGTTCCTTTATTTCCCACTGTGTTTCCAATTCTTGGCCACTTGTCAGGGTATTTTCATCTTGGTTCTTATTCAATCAGAGTCTTTCCCTTTCTTCGTGAATCCTTCAGCCCTGTGTTACTTGGGCTTTTAAGTTGTTACCATGCATGACAGGCATCTATTTTCAGGAAAGGAAGAAAGGAGATATTGAAGCTAAAGTTTTCGTAATGGTTAGGTTTTTTAAACTTGTGATTCCATTAGCCTATCATTTATTTGTATTTAACGTAGCACTGAATTATTTTTACAGAGCTACTTTATTCCCTCTAAATTCTCCCCTCTTTTTTCCCCCTAAGATTGTAAAATCAAATTGAACTTTTTCTTAGGAATTAAGAAAGGAGTTTGAGAATCACACAAATCCCTTGAGCCATTCTAAAAATAGGAAGAATACAATTTATGAATCATTGGGTTATTTTGGAAATCTTGAATGATTAAAATGTGGATGTATCTCTTTTTGGCATCAAAAACGTATGTATATAAGCAAAGCACATAGTATTTACTGCATTATTCTGGAAATTTGAGGTAATTTGATCCTATAACTCATTTCGTGCAAGAATAGCATTTTGAACATAGTTTAATTCCAGAATTTGGGTATGTAAGAATATCTATTAAATTACATTCACACCAGCAGGTGTTTATTGAATGCTTTCTGCTTCTAGGGTACTATGTGCGATGGTAAAGTGATGTTCCCAAATCCCAAGCCTTTTCTTAGCTTCCTCAGTTCTCCCTTCATGGTGTTTTCTGTAACTTTATAGGTTGAGATGAATTGATCTCAAAGCCGTGGTTATGGGTATCATGGATGTCAGTGTTGATACTGTTTGATTTATTTCTTTTTCTTTATTTCTTTGCTTTCTCCAGAAAAGGGATGGCTGCCTCTGTGGCTTGTGTGTGTGTGTGTGTGTGTGTGTGTGTGTGCGCGCGCACGTCCTACCTTTGTTGTTGTTTTACATATCTGTGTAGTTCCTTATCCTTGCCTCTTTGTCCTCTGTGGAGTGTGTTTTGTGTGTGTTTGTATTTTCATATACCTCTCACAGGAAGTAGGGTTTTGTGAGGTAGGCTATAGAGTTAGCCTCAGGCTGGTAGAGGATTGATACTAGAGAATTGGAAAACATGGTTCATGTCCTTAAGAGATATATACTCTATAGTAGACAGAAACGAATATAAATATGTAAAACAGCTAGGGATAAATAACACTTCAATATATTTGGTATGCGATTACTGCTATGTAAATAACAGACAATATTTTGGCATTCAGAGTAAGTACAAACCTACTTTAGGTTAAGAAAAATGTGGTGCTGGTAGAATCTGAGCTCGATCTTGAAGCATGGGTATGACCTAGATAACTCAAGAAAACAATATAGGATTCTTGGAGAGAATGGCAACCTTTTTTGCAGTTTTATTATTGTAGGGAAGATATTTTACCCGTTAAAATACTGATATGTCTGGGGCTGCTGTAACATACAGCATGGGATTCACAAGTTCAAACGACTGCAGCCCATGCAAAAACAAAAGAATGTATATGTCACTTTATAAAAATTAAGTAGTTTTATGTACTTAAAAAATGTTTGTGGCATCGCATGTTTACTTTTATTTTCCACTTTGTGTCAGGCTGAATGTCAGTGTTTTTTACAACATGAAAATAATTTCTAAGAACAACGTTTTTTTATATGATCTTACTCTCATAGGAAGTAAAATTTGTCCTATTCATGCCATCTTTTTCCAGGAATTAGAAGTTAAATTGAGTATTTCCTGTCCTGTGTGTGTGTCAGGGGTGTAGAGAAAACATATTTCAGTTGCAGATGAGGGGTAATGAAAACTGGATAAAAAATGGAGGATAATGGCAGGGTGAACAGTGATGAGATAGATGTGAAGGGCGATTTTCAAGGGAGGTTTTTTTAGTTCCTTGAGCCTTGTCCTGTGACTTTCTTTAATCAAAGATGATTCTGTGATGGTGGGCCTAGGTGGCTGAGAATACCATATTGTTAACAGAGATGAAGAATACAGGTGTTTGAGTTATATTTTGGGTATATTTATTTATTTATTTATTTATTTTAATTTTTTTTTCAACGTTTATTTATTTTTGGGACAGAGAGAGACAGAGCATGAACGGGGGAGGGGCAGAGAGAGAGGGAGACACAGAATCGGAAACAGGCTCCAGGCTCTGAGCCATCAGCCCAGAGCCTGACGCGGGGCTAGAACTCCTGGACCGCGAGATCGTGACCTGGCTGAAGTCGGACGCTTAACCGACTGCGCCACCCAGGCGCCCCTATTTTGGGTATATTTAATTTGGAGTTTTGGCAGCATGTTCAGGGGTAGAGGTCTGGGCAAACATTAGAGCTATGGGGTTGGAATTTTGGAGAGAGATCAGGGTTGAAGATAAAATCCAGGAGTTCACATAGAGGTGATAATTTATGTTGCATGGGGAAGAGAGGAAAGAACAAGTAAGGAAAATTCAATCTCACTTGTCATGATTAACAACAGAAATTTAAATAATTACTAATAAGTTATAGCATCTTTCTCTTTAGACTGTAGCTAAGTCCTGAATGATAAATATTTTTTTCCGTTCTCTAATTTTTGGACCTCTTGCTAGAGGGCAGTAGTAGTTAATTCCAAGGGCAAGGAAGGCAAGTATTAAAAGAGTTTGATGGCTTAAGTCTAAGCTAAACATATTCCTGTGTTTCCTAAACTTACATTCGACAGTACATTATTTTCAGTCCTTTTTATCCTTCACGTCAGATCTGTTAAGTGTGAAATTTTTTTTCTCTTAATATCCGGCTTTTGCAGGATGGTTCAAGAATTATGCCTTTTGTTGGTTATCTCTGATATCAGGATCTTTCAATATGTTCAGAAGAGAGGAAATGAGTTTAGAATTTAACTACATTCTGATCTTCCCACGATATGGCACAATGTAGTTAGGAGATCTCATCTGTTCTACTGTAACTTTACACAAGTACAAGACTATAAATAGTTATGTTCAGGGTTTTGCCATTATTTTTATTTCATTTCAGCAGATCCCTTTTGGACATTCACCCAATTTGGAGTATTAAATAGTGAATCTACCTTAAAATGTAAAGGAAAGTGTCAATCTATAAATATTTATAAGATATTGTCTGATTGTGTGAGATACATTGACATGATTGTAAGATATCCACTGTCGGAATAACACTGGTTAACAGTGGAAACTTAAAGAATTATTAATATGTTAAAGTATCTTTCTGTTTGGAGACTTTTTTGGGGAACATTTCATTTTGTGAATTCACCTTAGAAGTATCTAGTCTTTCTCACTCTCCTGCCCCGTGTGTGCACATGCGCACGCACGCCCGTATGTGTATGCATTTTCACTTCAATCTCAGTTGTCATGATTAACAACAGGGGTGTGTGTGTATTTGTTTACTTATACATAGTAGAATTTATATCTGATAGTGTACTCTGCAGGTTTGTTATTTGACACTATTGTATTTCTTTTAAATTTTCTTCTAGGGGCGCCTGGGTAGCTCAGTCGGTTGAGCGTCCAACTTCAGCTCAGGTCACGATCTCGCGGTCCGTGAGTTCGAGCCCCGTGTCGGGCTCTGGGCTGATGGCTCAGAGCCTGGAGCCTGCTTCCAATTCTGTGTCTCCCTCTCTCTGCCCCTCCCCCGTTCATGCTCCATCTCTCTCTGTCTCAAAAATAAATGAAAAAAATTTTTTTTTCTTCTAGGTCACTTACTGGTCTTCTTCTGTTTCAGGCATCATTCTGAGCATTTAGGATGTAGTAATTAAGTTATTCTTTTTAACAACCCTCTGAGGTTGCAACTGTTACCCCTGTTTGAAGAATAGGAAGCTGAAAGACATGTCTTGTGACACCAGGATTTGAACCCGAGCATATACCCGTTCTTTTAAACTACCATGCAAGGCCTATTTCTCTAAGCCTCAGTCTCCTAGTCTAAAAAGCAGTAATAAACAGACCTATCTTTTAGGGTTTTGGGTAGGGTTAAATGAAGCAATGCATATTAAGAGGCCGATGCTGGATCTAGATATTAATGATCAGTTACTATTAGCTGTTGGTTGGCCACTTTTCTGATTTTCTTCTGGTGCTTTTGTTCTTTGTCTCCCTTGTAGTTTATTTTTCGTCAGCCCGTTCTTTAAACAATGGTATTCTAGAGTTCCACTTTTGACCTGCTGTTTTATAGCATTCTGCATAATTTCCCTTCAGAAGGTTTATCCACTTTCCTAGTTTTTAACTACTGCCTACTACCTGTAATCTGATGACCCAATTCCATACATTTCCACCAAGCTATAGCCTGTTGTAGCCAAATGTCTGCTGTGCATCCACCTTTGGGCATCCCCACGTGTCCCTTGCGCTTGATGTAGATAAAACTGGAAAATTTTTAATGTAAAATGGAACTGAAGGATATGAAGTGGAGAACCTCACACATGCACCCGCAGAAAATGGAACTCAAAAGACTGAGACTGACTTCTCACAAATAATCTGATTTATAGAGGGTTGAAATTTATCCTCTGACCAATGAGCATCCACCAAGAATGTCTTCCATCTTCAAGCCAGTGAACTTGCTGCTTGGCCCCTTGCTGGTCTTTCCCCTCTTACACTCCTTGCCCATAAAAGCAACCCAAGTAAAACCTTCAGCGGACTCCTACAGTTCGCTGACGTTTGAATGTCCCAAGTTGTAGTTCCTCTACTATTCCTGAATAAACTCCATTTCTGGCAACTCGACTTTGCCTTAGTTTATCTCTCTTCTCTTAGGTAGACATTACATGGTATCAAAGTGAGATCTGAAGAAGGTGATCACCAGGAACACCAACCTCCAGAAATAAGTGAGTTTCCTGCACTTGAGCCCTTTGCACTCATAGCTTGTACAAGTCAAGGTAACTTTCAGTTTGGTAAGTTTCCTCTCAGGTCTTGAGCTGCCTCCTTTGGTGGAGCTCTCTCACTTTATTTGGGATCTGGAGAAGGGCGGATTTTCCTTCTGGTATGTACTCTTATTTCTGATAATGGGATCCCAGTCATCTGAGTTTTCTAAGGGTGGCCCCCCCTTGGGGAACCCTCGCTGGTTTTATGTTAAAAAATTACAGCCCTTCCTCACACACGTTTGACTAAATCAGTTTTACTAAGGATAACCTAGAACTCCAGTGACCATTATGTGGAAACTTTGATCTCCCCAAACTTATTTTTCTCTGAACTGATTTAGAAGACCATGTTTACAATACTAAACAATCCAAGTGGGATGGTTATTTTAATTGGTATCTGGAAGCTTCCAAATGTGTTCAGGATTCTAAAATTGCTTCCTTACAAAATACTGTTGCTAAATTAAAGCAAATAAATAACTAACAATGTGTAAGAAGAAAACACCAGAGGCCTGTTCTTGCTGCTAACCAAGGTCTTTCCTAACCTTACTATTCTACCTCCTCTATCTTCCTGTTTGCCTTCTCTTAACCCTTTACCCTCTCTCTAAACTTCCTTTCTTTCCTATTACTGAAACCTCATCCACTGATCTCATTAAAACCTTCCCTTTCAAAATTAAACCTGAGGATTCTAAACCACCCCAGATTTCCTACACTCCATGGACAAAGGCCAAAGTTAGGACTATAAGAATTTTCCCAAGGTAACTGGGGTCTCCATGCATTTGTTGAGGAATTCATTGTTGAAAGTATAACTCGCCAAACTGCTCTTCCATTTCTTATCAGTTAGCCCACATGCGTATCAGAGAAGGTCAAAGTGTAACAATGGATTAAAACTGCTGTTTGGGGAAATCCCAAACAATCTCTAGAGTTTAAACTAAATCAACCACCAACCCTTTTATATGATCAGGCTTGCAGACTGGACAAAAGGCCACATGAAGCCATTCCTAGGGCCTTCCCCAAACCCGTGGACTGGAACAAAATTCAGGCACACACTCAAAAGCCTACTAAATCTGTCCATGACTAATAAAGCAGACTCTACATCATTTTTTAAAATTCTGGACTTTCCATAGATGTTGAATCCACGCTGGTGGCTTTTAATTCCATGTTCGTGAATGGCCCAAACAAGGACTTCTTCCTGTTGGTCAAAAGAACCCGTATAGAACGGGAGACAGTGTGCATCCCTGACTTTGTCAATCTGGCTAATCAATTACTTGCACCCTAGAGGATGACACCAGAAAAAAAGACAACTAATATTTTGAGTCTTTACCTTGGAAAGGTAACTTCCAAGGTTTCCAATATGGAAACTCCAAAGCCATCTTCTAGAACTATGTCATTACTGCAAAAAACCTGGCCATTGGAAAACAGATTGCTAGAAATGGACTCAGGAGCTACACTATCAGTAGCTACACTGACAGAGTACACTACAATTAAAGAGTCTTCCTCTAAAATACGTATGCTCACCCAGGGGGCGCCTGGGTGGCTCAGTTGGTTAAGCGTCTGACTTCGGCGCAGGTCATGATCTCACGGTTCGTGAGTTCAAGCCCTGCATCAGGCTCTGTGCTGACAGCTCAGAGCCTGGAGCCTGCTTCAGATTCAGAGCTAGCCCCCTCCCTAGCTCACGCTTGCTCTCTCTCTCTCTCTCTCTCTCTCTCTCTCTCTCTCTCTGTCAAAAATAAATAAACTTAAGAAAAATCAAAATAAATAAAATATGTATGCTCAGTGAGGGTCTTTTGTTTTTTAAAATTTTTTAACATTTATTCATTTTTTTGAGAGTCAGAGACAGTGCAAGCAGGGGAGGGGCAGAGAGAGAGGGAGACATGGAATCTGAAGCAGGCTCCAGGCTCTGAGCTGTTAGCACACAGCCTGAATCGGAACTCGAACCCATGAACCGTGAAGTCATGACCTGAGCTGAAGTCAGACGCTTAACTGACTGAGCCACCCAGGTGCCCCAGATAGTGGGGGTCTTAAATAAACCACAATGTGTGCCTATTTCTAAGCCCATATGTTTTTGTCTGGGACTTTGGCAAGTTGAGCTACCCATTTCTCCTCAATGATTTAGTTCCCACACATTAGAAGGAGATTTTCTGGAGAAATCTAATGTTGCCATTTTTTTTCTCTCAAAAGGGAAATAACCATTGAGTTTGAATCCCAACACTTAGGAAAATTCAATCCTCTTTGCCCTTCCTTGCACTCTACAAGCCAAGGAAGTCTAAACTTCAGACTCGTCCCTGCTGTTAAACCTGGTAACCCCCACTTTTTGGGCAAAATCGTTAACAGATGTAGGCAGAGTTCATATTGCCCCTCCCGTTAAGATCCAGATTGACCCCTCAAAAAACTCTCCCAACAAAAAAAACAATATCCTATAAATAAAGCTTACAGGGCATAAGGCTTATTACAGAGAATGATAAGTCTCAAGGACTCGTTATCCTTTGCACCAGTCCTCGTAATACCCTATTTTGCCTGCAAAAAATCAAGTGGCTGAGGATGGAGATTTGTCTAAGACCTAGGGCAATAAATAACATTCTAAGTCCCTGCCTCCCCGTCATCCTTAATCTCCACATGCTATTGGTATCCATTCCTACTAGAAGCATTTTTTTTTTAACTTTGATTGACTTATGCAATGGATTTTAAAAGATCCTTGTTGGTAGGGATAATTAATATCTTTTTGCCTTTACCTGGGAAGGATAACTGTATTCCTAGACAGTCATGCCTCAGGGCTTCACTGAGAGTCTTTCTTCTCACAAGTTTTAGAAGCTGACTTAAATGACAAAATTCTCTGAAGGCTCCATTACTATAATATGTGGACGATTTGCTTTTTTGCTTGCCCTTCCAATGCTCCTCACAAAAAGAGAGTGTTTACGTGTTGAAAATCTTAGCCATTGAAGGACATAGGGTCTCAAAGGAAAAATTACAATTTTTCCAAACTGAGGTTTGATATTTAGGACATTTAATCTCATAACAGGGACTGTACCTAGTTTAAAGGTTTGAAGACATTTTCAACTTTCCAAACCCTAAAGGCAAATGTCACTTACAGGTTTTTTTTGGGGGGCTGGCTGGCTATTGTCATAATTGGACCCCAAATTTCTCCTTGTTGGTTCATTAAGGAGTATTCCACATATACCCCATTGTTTGGGATGACCAAGATAGTTTTAAGACCTTGAAGGAAAGCTTAATAAATCCCCCTGCCCTTGGATACACAAATTATCAGCTACCCTCTTTCCTTTTTGTATATGAGAGAGAAGGGAATGCCCTTAAAGTACTTACCCAAAAACGCAGGGGCTATCACTGACATCTGAGTTACTACACCCAAAAATTAGATTCATTTCCCTGAAGACACCCACCACACCTTACTTACCTACTACTGCCGCTTTAGTTAAAGCTACCAAAGAGATAGTTATGGGATCCTCTTTGACCATCTTTGTACCCCAGTCTGTCAGGACACTCTCACATTCACACCACACTTAACACCTTTCAGCAAACTATCTCACCTCCTGTGAAATCCTCATATGCACTGTCCCCCATATCGCTCTTGTTCAAAAAGCAGAAGTTTTAAATTTCAATTTACAAGTTTTTCTTTTCTAGTACATGCTTTTTGTATTCTAAGAAATCTCCACCAATCTTATGGTCATAGCTTCCCTATTTTTTTTCCTTGGAATTCTGTAGTTCTTGCTGTCATGTTTACATCTATGATCAATTTTGAGTCAATTTCTTATTCTGACTTCTCCTTTGTCTGGTATTAAGAAGCCACTGTAGCTTTCCTTTTATTAATGTTTGCATGGTATATCCTTTTCTATCCATTTACTTTTAATCTGCTTTATATTTGAAATAGTTTTCCTTTGGACAGCATATGGTTGGGTCTTGCCTCTTTCCCCTGAGAATCTCTGCCTTTCAATTGAGATGTTCAGATCATTTATATTTAATGTAATTGCTGATATGGTTGGATTTAAATCTACCATTTGCTAGTTGTTTCTAGATTTTTTTATTTTTCTCTTTAGTTTTTTGTTCCTTTTTTCTTCTTTCTTGCTGTCTTTTGGATTAAGTGTTTTTATAATTACATTTTATCTCTACTATTAGTTTGCTAATTGTACCTGTTTTTTCCTTTAGTTGTTGCTCTAGGGTTTACAATGCACTTCTTTAACTTGTGTAAAGTCCACCTTCAAATAATATATAATATCATATATATAATATAGTTATATATATAATATAAATGATGTCATATGTGTTATATAATATATATAATAATGTACTTCTTTAACTTCTATAAAGTCTGCCTTTAGATAATGTGATAACAAATTGTGGTGTAAGAACATATATTGCAGCATATGTTTCCATTTCTTCCCTCCTGTCCTCTTACTAATGCTGTCATGTATTTGACTTTTAATAACACTCTAATATGTTGTTAGTATTTTTTGCTTTAAACAGCCAATTGTTTTTTAAGGAGATTTTTAAAAGAAGAGCAGGGTCTTAAATTTACCCTCATATTTACCATTTTCAGTTCTCTTTATTCCTTCATGTCAATCTAGATTTCCAGTACTTGTCTGGCTGAATAACTTTCTTTAACATTTCTTATTTTGCACACTACTGGCAATGATTCCTCTCAGCTTTTTTCTGATTGTTTTTCTTTTAGCCTTTTTTTTTTTTTTTTGGAAAGGTATTTTTGCTGGGTATAGAGCTTTGTGTTGACAAATTTTCCTTTTCTTTGAATGCTTTAAAAATGTCACTCTTTGGGGCGCCTGGGTGGCGCAGTCGGTTAAGCGTCCGACTTCAGCCAGGTCACAATCTCGCGGTCCGTGAGTTTGAGCCCCGCGTCAGGCTCTGGGCTGATGGCTCAGAGCCTGGAGCCTGTTTCCGATTCTATGTTTCCCTCTCTCTGCCCCTCCCCTGTTCATGCTCTGTCTCTCTCTGTCCCAAAA